AAAGGAGGTATCCTTTTTTAGTAACTATTTTAATATTCAATTTTATAGATCATTATATCTTTTTATTATTAAAATTAATTAATATTTTATCAAATTCAAATTTTGAACAGATTATAAAATAATATGCATTAGATCTTAGATTCAGATATATTGTTGTACACACAAAAAAAAAAGAGTAAATAATTAAAACTAAAAAGATGAAATATCTATATTTCTTAACAAAAATGATCTAAATTATACACGAACTAAAATACGGGGATTAAAAATATAATTAAGATGAAGCTACTAGATTTACACTCAGAAATATATTTCCAAATTTCCAAGTTATAGGTATGCCTCAAGAGCTTAAATATTTTTCTTATTAAGTTGTTTAACACTCTTTATTCCTTACGGTATTTTTACCAGCTTTAGAGAAATATTCTCAAGTAACGTAGATGAAGAATAAAATGGTTAAGACCGAAAAGTTTTTCTAAAATCTTAAAACATGTGTTTGAGAAAGTTTTAAAAATTATATTATTTCAAAAATTAATTATTGTTATAATTGATTATAATCGGAATAAATTTTTGTGTAGATAAATTTGTTGAAAATTTATTTCAAGATATTTAATTTGTTTGAATAAAAAAAAAAGCTTTTATGTAGTAATTTAGCTTGAGGAAAAAAAAAGTTGTTAAAAATTAATTTTAAATTTTAAAATTTCAAATTGAAGAAAAAGTTTAAATTTTTAAGAAAAACAAGTTATTTACAAATTTAAAGTGGTGTTTCAAAGATTTATATCACTTAATCAAGTGGTTAGAATCGAATTCTAAATCTTACAAATATAAGAAAAGAAAAATTAAAAAGAGAATTCCTACCTATTTTATCATGTGAAACTTCTAAAGAAGATTATTTCTTTATACGACAGAAAATACTTGTCAATAATACAAACAAATTAATTAATTTGGGCCTTGTGTATGGTAGGAGGGTGCAAAGGGACTAGTAGTTGGTCACGAGTGATGATGTTAAAACTTACAATGATGTGAGGCTTACATGAGCAAGGATTGAAAAGTGGGTCACCTTTGTTGAAGCATTCCATTCAAGGAAGGTACACCAAGTGGGGTAAAGATGCCATTGCCCTCGTTTTTTGTCCCCAATATAGATGTCAAAGTCAACACTTTCTTAGACCTAAAGCTTCTTTTCCATTAAATTTTGCTTTTGCCCTTTCTTGAACGTTTCCATTTAGGTGTTGAAGAATAAAGAGACATACCCATATGCTTGCCTCCATAACAGGATTTGCCTACCAATGGATAAGAACTCCAACTCCTCCATGACTATGAATCTTTTACTTTAAACAACATTAATACATCCTTGTGTTTACTTTTTTATTTTCTTCTTTGACTATTGTTGCTTAAATTAAATTTGGACCTTCCATGAAAGAGGGAACGTGTAGAATGAAACATGCGTACACGTGTTTTCAGGGAATATTCAATTGAATATATTCACAATTTTCATAGTGGTGGAACGTGGAAGGAACCTTAGAAACAAAAGGACGTGGAAAATAATTCTGTATTTTGGTATATATTGAATACAAAGTATAATAACTTCTAAATGAATGTAAGTGACATAAATATTCCTAAGGGAAAATAGCATTTGAATGTGTATTCTTGAAAAGAAAGCTCGAAATTAAATTTTTAGCATTTTAATGTGATAAATCTCAATAATATTTGTTTTCAACTATTTTGTATCCTAACAATTAATAGAGTTTGATTCTAATAAATTGAAAGTATAAACGTTTTTTTAGTGCTAATCAATTGAAGAATCATTCTACACGCAACTCTTAAAATAACTATAACGAAAATAAATAAATGTTTAATTATTTGACAAATTATGATTCGCTGACATTAACAAAAATATTATTTATTTATTTATATATTCCAATGAAATTCGTTTATGACCCTATATTGTATGATAATGAAATAGTAATGATTCATATTTTACAATATTTTGTTTTATTTGCTAAAAAATATATGAAAACAAATCTAACATATGTTATTAACATGGGAAAATAGTTGGAACCATTTTGGGTGAGTGAAGATATTCCCCCGGTTATTTAAAGTTTTTCTTAAAAGCAGTCTTTTTTATATATAATAAAACTAGTTAAAAAAAAAAAGCATTCATTGAAAAATAAATGGATGGTATATCTTCTTCGAGAGTTATTACGTATTACTTATAGTTAATAGGTAATTAAAGGTATAATTGTTTTTAAAAAGTGAACATAAAATAGGATATTTTTTTTTATATATTGTTATAGATTATACATAAATATATTTTTTATTTTTTAATGTATATTTGTCTATTTATTTTAAAAATAAATAGTTATATATTTTTTTTAAAAATATTTCTATTTACATCTTAAAAATTATTTTTTTAAGAAACATTTTTTGAGTTTAAACAAACCGTCCCACTTTATTAAAAAAAAAGTAAAATAGAATTTTAGTCTTCATTTTAATTTTTGGTTTTAGTTTGAATTTAATTTTTTTTCCTCTTTAAAATGTCTTTATTAATAAATTAATTATTTTTAATGTTTTTAATGATGTTAAATTTAATTAATATGAAATTTTTATAATTTATCACGTGTCATAAAATTTATTAAATTATTATGATAAATTAATGAAAGGACTAACTTAATTTAAGAGTTAAAGTAAAATTTTAAAAATAGGTATCGCAATCATCATCATAATGGGAATGATATAAAAATATTTTTAATGAAATCACTGTCAATATTTTATTTAAAAAAAATATATTAACTTTTTTAGAAAATGTGATTTTTGAAATTAGAGTTAAACTTATAAGATAATTACATATAAGGAAGATATTAATATATTATAATGTGTGTTAAAAATATTATTTTTAATTAATTGTACAAAATTATATATCTTTAAAAATTATTTAATACCTCGTTTTGTCACAAAAATTATTCCTCATTTTAGAGATAATATTAGTGTTAAATATAGAAAATTTCACTTCCATGGTGGCTTTACTTGAGAGGCTACCAAAGGTTCGAAACAGAGCCTCCCTTCTTGTCCCCCACTATAACTTTGTTGACCATTTGGCTTCCAAAAGCACGTTTTCAGTCAACGGAATTAATCTATTTTTCATTTACAATTTGTTAAAATTGGTTTTGATAAATTTAATTGCTACTTGTTGAATGTGATTGAAATACGACTTTAAATTAATTTCAATTGTATTTTACATGTTATCATGTATTTTTTTAATTAAAAACTGTGAAAACCTATTTTCCAAAACTTTAAAACAAAGAGCTTAATTTCAAGAGAATTAATTTTGTTTGACACTTTTTTTTCTCGATTTTCATAATTAATTTGATAGTGAAAAGAAATGATTTTGAGATCATTTTAACCTTTTCGTTGGGTTATATCCATTCTAGGAATAAGACATACAAATTGTATTATATTCATAACTCTAAAATAATTC